TACCAACACTAAGCTTGTAAATAAAAATTTCCTAAGACTTTAAGACACTAGATAAGACTTTTTGCATCAATTTGACAATAAATATAGAGCTTTGTAACCACCTACTATTCTATTTTACACGCAAAATGCGCAACTATAATTATCAGAAAAATGAATGTCTAGATATTTATAACTCTTCAACTCTTCTAATTGTAAGTCATTGTAATAGAAGGAAAGTTTAATTCTAGTGCACACTATAATGACTTTAGACATCTTCATATTTAGCTCCATCTTATTCTGGGTACAAAAAATAGCCAAAGTGTAGGTATTTCTGTAAACTAATTGCATCATATGCTAGTAATGTGATATCATCTGCATACAAGAAAGCTTTGATAAAAAAGTTTTCAATTTGACATCTTCACTATCACATGACTCTAATTACTCTTCCATATCATCTATGAAACTTCAAATAGAGTTTAAGAGAGCACAACCTTGAATCATTCTATGATTCTCAAAATCTCTTCAGTTTGAGAATTATTGATTCTGATTCAAACAGATAAGTATAACATAGCCACAACTACTAAATGATTTGATAGTACTCTAATGACTTGCAACCTTTCCCATAATAACTCATGAGGAACAATGTCAAAAAAAAATTTAAAATTGATGAAGACGCAAAACAAAATTTTCCATTGACCTTAGATTTCTCCCATAAAACACCCAAGGCCAAAATATGATCAATGATGTTGTATGTAAAGCAAAAACCTGCTTGTAACCGTGCTCTGTTTCAATGGCATTCAATCCATATGCTCAATTATGACCACCAATTTGCCAAACAACTTGGCAAAAACACTACCTTCTATGAAAGTGTTTTAATTTGTCACCCAATCAGTTTTTCCTGAGTTGTGAGTAAGAACAATCTTCCGTAGAGACCAAGTTGAAGGAAAACCATACATAACAGCATTCTCTAAAACTTTGGTGAGTATTGATCCATTATTATCTCCACCCCATTTGAAAAGTTTAATAGAAAGACCAACCAAATACTCTGATTTACCATCATTTAATTTTTTGACTTGAGTTATCATCTCTGATTCAGAAAATAAACTAGGTATTGACTAGGTATTCACAACATAGCATTGATGGAGCGTCGGGAAAAAAATAAATCTCTTAGCAAAAGCAATCAAAGACTTGGAATCAAAGTAAGTTTTGAACATCTTATTGCTAACACTCTCCAGAAAGATTTTATATTCTTCATCAACTCCTTTGTCAATGACTCTAGCTTCCATATATATACACCATGTGTCAACCTCATGAATGCAAGGTCCAAATTAAATCTTGACAATAGATATCATAAGAGCAATAAACCAAGGAAGATAGCAAAAATATAGGAATTGCCTCAAGGAAGTAATACATGAACACTAGTACTTTTACAAAACCAAACGCGTAAAAGTATGATGAATGATATTCAAGTTAGTGAAGTGGAAATGCGGAAACGAAGATGCCTTCCGCAACTTGGCTTTCTGAAGCTGGTAAGAGAAAGGCCCCGTGGCATTAAATAATTAATTGTACCCCAAAACTCCACCTATTTCCATGAGTTTTTAATTCATGCGAGTAACAATCGGAAGTTCAGTATGAGCTGAGCGGGCAAGCGCCCAACGGAACTGAACTTGCAAAATGCTGCTCTACATAATTGGGCTATCAGCTCGGAACACTACTTTGGAGAGTGGTGATCAAGGACTTGTATGAAATGTACTAGCATTGGATCTTGTTTGATTGAATTGATGCAAAGCTCAGGTTTTATATGAAGCTTTAAAGGGGCAGCTAGTGCCGCGTAGCCATATGCAACAACACGTCCTCGGATCCTGGACTTCCAACCAGTTCAAGGGCCCCAGACTCACACTCGTGTTGCCGCAGAATTTCAACTGGTTGTCCCTGAGCAAGCGTTTACCACCTTGACATAGAAGGAAGTAAAGTGCCTGCGAATGTGAAGTATAATTGTCATGAGAAATTCGAAATAATGAGGTCATCCAGCATCATGTAAAGCCTATTGCCGCTTGACTATTCCCTTAGTGCCAAACTTCATAGTTGTCATGATTGTAGATGGTACACTATCATCTGCTGATGATGTTCCAAGGAAAGGGCGTGGTCAGTATCAGTATCTGAGTGGATCTGGATTGTATCATTGATGGATGTACTTTGAGTGGATCCTCAGCTCAATTCATGTCGGAAGTACCCCTTACACTAATGTGACTCGGCACTCATGCTTGACTGTCACTATTGCTTTTTCATGTTTACCAACTGTCAATGAGCCAACGACCTTTCATACGTTGAGAGCCTAAAAACACATATCAGCGTCCCCCGATGTTGGACTAAACAATGATTGATCTAAGAACGATGAACGATGAATTCTACTTTTGGCTCATATAAGCAGAAGATGTGGACCTGAAACCATTCGAAATCTCACGACACAACAGTCTAAGGTCGTGCACTTCAGCCAGATTTAGTGCACTTCAGCTAGAAACTGCAGGAGGAAATGGGTGGCATTTCAAGTATAGAAGTAACCCTGTCTGAGACTGCCTTACCTTTAAATTGTACCCCAAGATGTGGTTCGATATAAGTTTTGGCATGAATTTCCAATTATCAATAGCAATGGTGATGTCTTTGATGATCATAAGTAGAAAGGAAATGTTACATGGGGCCAATTTAGGAGACAAAGTCCCATTCTCAGTAATGATGAGGTTATTCCCTGTACCAGAGGACAAGACCCTAACTAAGTCAAGGCGTTATGAATTGAGAAAGGTACGAGGGATCCAGTCTAGCGCCGAAGGCGTCAATCGCCGAAGGCGCTTCTCCTCCGTAGGAACCGTCCGTTCGGGCCAGGGCGCCTGTTTCCGACATTGCGCCCAACTCGATGATTCTCCGTGACCCGCGATCATCCATTTTCACTCTATTTTAGTGTACTGATTACTATTTACATTTGTTGCTGCAGAACTATTTTCCAAAAATGTTTAAATTCCACACAAAAATAAAAAGTGAGTTACCACAATTATTCATATTTCTATATGTTGTCTGTAATTCTAGATCCGAGGTTCAAATAAACATACCTTGAGCAAAAGTAGTTTGAGTTGCTTTACCCAAGATTATTCCGTGCTACTATTACGATATTGAAAAAGTTGGTGAATGAGATAAAAATGTTTTGTGAAGCCGATGAGAACAAATTCAATTTAAATAATTTTCTCACATGAACCTCAACAACGAAATGAATATTTTGGCATGTTTGTTCATTGCAATGAGGATAATGAAAAGTAAGATGAGGTTAAGAGATACCTGTCCTTACAATGTGAAGATCCTACCGTCAACCTTCTTCATGAGTAGAAAGTTCATAATAAAAAATTTAATGTTCTTTCTTTATTGAGTTTATCAGTGGCCGTTGAGAGTATTTTCAATTGCAGGCGCGATGTGATTGATATGCGACGGCATTCTCTTGCTCCCGCAACTTTAAGTGCTCTGATGTTTGAAAAAAGTGTTTTGAAATAGTTTACACTTAATAAAGCATACAATGTTTTTTTGTCAACAATTTTTTTGAATTCTACCCGAATCGATATGAATCCGACCTAGTGTTTTGGGTTTGGATTGAAGGTAAAATCCGACCTGAACCTATCGGAGCCGTACATTGTGAACACAAGTTATATATCATAAATTATGTTTGTCAATGGAGAAAATATAAATCTAATACATTATCCATTATATTATTATAAGCACAAAAATTTGTGAGGAATTCACAAAAACGATTTTTAGATGAAAAAATCGTTAATGAATTCAGATAAGATGCATACTTAACTATTCATATTTCAAATCAATCTGAACTGTTCGTATAGAAACAGAAAAAATTTTAAAAATTATTTGATCTTGTTTTAATCGTTTTCCCTCTTCCACTTGCACCATACTTACACTTATCTCATTTTGTCCAAAATATTTCTGTATACAAATAGGACGGACATATGAAACCTTTGATTCAAAATCACACCGTAAAAAAAGAAGTTCAATGAAAATTGGTCTATAAATTATTGTATGGCTGAATGTTTCTCTTTTTTTTAAAATGGTTACTACTTTTCATTTTATTAATAAATGGAAGTTTAAAAGTAGAAATATTTTGAATTCTAGAGATTTTGTTTTGATTAGAAAAAGTCCTTTGTCAATGGAAAAATGATAAATCTGATAGAAATTCCACTATCCACTCTAAACAACGATTTTCAGATGAAAAAATCTCTTTTTTACAGAATTGTTCAAATAAGATGCTTACTTTACTATTCATATTTAATATTAATCTGGCCAGTTTGTATACAACAAGCAAACAAAAATAAAAATTGATTTTGTCCCTTCGACAATCGTTTCGACAATCGTTTTCCCCCTTCCACTTGGGCCATACTTCCAGTTATCTGATTTTTTTTTATATATATATTTCTGTATACAAATACTGTGGACATATGAAACCTTTAATGTGAAATCACACCGTTCGATAAAGAAGTTCAATGAAAATTGGTGTATAAAATACTGTACGTTTAAATGCTTTTCCTTTTGTAAAAAAAGTGACAATTTTTCAGTTTATTTACAAATGAAAGAATTTTACCTTAAAAGTACAAATAGTTCGAATTATAGAGTTCCGTTTTGATTAGAAAAATTCCTTTGTCTACAGATAAGATCTATAAACTGAAGGAAAAAAATTACGGGTTGCAAGTTTTCACAAATATAATATGATCAATCATGATTCGATCAAATTGGTACTGATGTCGTCATTCATGCGAATCTCGGAGTTTTTCCTTTGACAAAAGAGATAAAGTTTGAAAAAAACCACTAGCACTAGGTTCTGGAAAGTAGTTTGAATAAGTTTGTACCAGTTTAGATCATGAAAGTGACTGTGAGCTCAAACATAAATTTCAAGACCTCTTTACGAGAATTTGTCAAAATGTAATAGAATTGATGTTGTACTCGTTCAGATCAAGAAACGGATAGCAGAGTTCCAACAGAATAATTTTGAGTTCGATCACATCTTTAAGATAGATAGATACGGGACATTTATATGACTTTCATGAAGGTTCGAAAGACCAGTGCACATGATCTGAATGGATACAGCGACCAATGTGAATTGGTACATGACCCGTTAGAGCATGATTTTACGTAGAGTGAACAAGTAAATTGTGGCTATCTCCGCATGAATATGGAAAGGGGCAACAGCTGAAGCTGCTGCACGTACCGCTGTATACTAGTACAAGACCTAAAGCTATGTACTACTACTACTCGGACTAATCGTCCGAGTCCATGACAGCATTATGCATCCGGCAACAGCTGCAGCTGATTTAAATATATATCACAGCTTACTATCACTACTGGGGTAGTAGGGTTCTTCATGTCCGTATTGGTCTTGAAGAAACGCTGTGATCGGCCCATACACATCGTCCGCCCGGTGCAGGCTCAGAGATAGGTCGAAGTGAGCGTAGTGAGGCAGGTACACTGACTGGGGCATTTTCTGCGTCAAGCTCATGAACTCCTGCACACCGTCGGGAGGCGAGTATGAATCCTGCCCTCCGTAGACCACCAACATGGGCAAGTCGCTGGGAATATGTTTCGGCTCGTACGTCGGAGGATCGGTTTTGCCGTTGTATTCTAGGCCATTCAAGGCTGCCGACCCGTAGTCGAAGTGCTGAAAGGTATTCCTCGAGATTCCTGCATGCGATGATGTGAGATGATGTGAGAATTCGGTCCATGCAATCAATTCTATCCTGATGTATTCGAGATCGATTAGCAACTTGTTTTAAAACTAGAGTTTCAAATATAATATAACCATATTCACAATTTGTTCTTGGAATTCTTTCTAGTACTTGAAGATTCATTACTATTTTGCGCTTCCAATTCGGTATCCTTCATACCAAGGGTGCTGAAGATAATTCTATGAGAACGATAGTCGAGCTTACCCTGATGCAGGTGCTCCAGATTCTTGTACGACGTGACTCCATCCCACCCGTTATCGAGCGAGACCACATTGGGACCTAAGCAGCAATCAGGTCCTTCATCGCGTAAATGCAGGCAAAGCACAAGGTACAGGGTGAGACAGACTTCATTCCGATACTGAAAACGGTACATCGATGGAAAGGTATAGATCTAGCCCATAGTTCTAAAGCACTGGGGTGCGGGGAACCAAATAAAAGAAGGAATGTTCCGTCACCCGAGATGGCTAGCCGCAGACGAGACGCGGGGCCCGTCAAAGGAATGGCATCCACATGGAACTCCCTGCGACGCCACGAAGTCTGTATTAGTTCCCGCTCTTTCCTAACTTCACCAAACTCATCTCATCGCTGCAGATACTCGAATTCACGTCAATGCATGCAGACGTCCGTCGCTTCGAGCGTGCTACTGCCTTACTCACCTCTGAAGGGAGAATGGTTGGAGCCTCCTGTCGTGCCATTCGTAGTCGCTCATACTCGACGCCTGTAATTGCAAATAACCAGCTGGGTCATAAACATCGTCGATTCTCTAATGGCAATCCAATCCCGCATGCGGCACTGTCAAGTGTATCACCATTAACAACCAATAATGGAGGAAGGCGGTCGGAGGTCTCACCGAGCGAGACAGAACGGGATCCCAGGCTTGCACGACAGCAGAAGTTGTCTTTCCCCGATAGACGGCGGGAGCTATCATAGTCAGAGATTCCATGAGACTTGCGACTCCGGCGTTCGTGGCCGCGGCCGCCCCCACTGCAGCGCTCTGCACAAAGACATCCATCAGGGTAGGTTAGCTCGAGTTCGACGCCTGGAGGGAGCGACGCTCGGAATCACTCACCAGAGAAACGCCGACGTAGTGAACTCTGGAGCCGGTCTCGTCGCGGATATGTGTCAGCAGCTTCGGCACGTCGTGCTCTACGTGCTGATCCCAAGACCAGTTCCAGTATTCCTGCATCAAAGTATCGTTTCCGTGAGTCATTAGCAAGAGCAGTCGAATACTTGCAATGGTGCGCACAAATGCTTGAGTACTCAATCTCCCCGTCAGTAGACGGGGAGATTGAGTTGCACGTACGTCATCGTCAGGAGTGAGGCTCCTATGCCCATGGCTCCAGAGCGTCGCCCGCTCGTGGCCGATCCACACATCGAAGCCCTGGTCCACGAGGCTGAACGGCAGCAGAGTGTCGTTACCGGGGTACACCGAAGTGAACCAGCTTTCTCCGTTGAGAAGCTCGTGGTGCATGAGCAGAACCGGGCCCCGATCGACGACGCCTGCTTGTCTGGTACGAGTCCGAGGTTGCTCTGGGCCATCGTTGGATTTGGGTCGCCCCTTTGCAAGAATCGGCGAGGACAAGCCAGATGGGCATTCAGCACTCGAACTCGACGATGGAGGAGAGCCTCCGAATCCCGATCCACCATCTGCAACAAGTGGGGAGAGTGCAGTTGTTGGTGGTGATGTCCATCCTGCGTAAGTGCACGTGCCCTGTGGTGAGATGGAGTAAGACGGAGCTCCATATCCACCAGGAGGACGGTACGAGACTACCGGTGAATTCACACCTGTAGGCAAGGAGGAGGAAAGAGAAACTTGAGGTTCATATCCATGTACTTCCGCCAGGGTAGAGTAAAACAATGGTGAGGTAGATTCTCCATTAGTGCCAGTGCCTGGTGGGGAGATGGAGGAAGACGGAGTTCTATATCCACTAGGAGGAGGGTACGAGACTGCATCTGTAAAATCACCTGTAGTCAAGGAGGAGTTAAGTGGAATTCGAGGTTCATTTCCATCGCCTTCCGCCGGGGTAGAGTAGGACAATGGTGAAGTAGACTCTCCATCAGCGCCCGTGCTTGCGTCTGTGAATTCACCCGGCGAGGAGGAGGAATGAGTGATCCGAGATTCATCGCCTCCCGCCGAGGTAGAGTAGTACAATGCTGAAGTTGATTCTCCATTAGTGCCTGTGCCTGGTGGGGAGATGGAGGAAGACGGAGCTCCATATTCACCAGGAGTAGGGTACGAGCCTTCATCTGTAAATTGACCGGTAGGCGAGGAGGAGAAAATTCGAATTTGAGGTTCATATCCATCTCCTTCCGCCGGGCTAGAGTAGGATAATGGTGAAGTAGACCATCCACCCGTGCCCGTGCTTGGTGGAGCTCCATATCCACCAGGAGGAGAGTAGGAGGTCGACGGCGGAGATGGTGGACCTTCCAAGATGCTCGTAGGATGGGTGGCGTAACTAATAACCGCCTCAGTCACTTGAGGTAGATCCTTCAACACAGGGAACGGAATCTTGCGCTGAAGTCTATTAGTTGGCTCCAGCTCTTCCCACACAGACTTGTGCTTGCTGCCCCGGGGTATAATCCGATGTAGACGAAGCATGTATCCATCGTCCGAATACACCTGCCAGTGTAGACAAATTACACATACGCGGTCCAAGTTCAGCTATTTCTGCTTGGAGAATCTGATTGACCCCATGGCTTCTTAAACCATGCCAAACAAAAGATTTTATCTTTTCCACTATTCTGATTAGAAAACTCATTAGAAGAACGACAGAGTAGCAAGTAACGATTGAGACAACTGACCTCATGTTCTTCGCAATCATAACCTCTGGGGATCACGTGGATCTCGCAGTAGGTTGAAGACGCATCCAAATAAATCGTCGGTATTTCGACGCCTTGGCTCACAGCAGCCAGAGTAGCAACTAAAGCGACTAACGCTAGTGCCAATGACAGCCATGACGATAAAGGCCGAATGCTCGACCCCATTGTTCTCACTCGACTGTCAAGAACACTGTTTCTTGCTGTTTCTGAGCTAATTTCACACACTGCTTCACTCTGTTTAGGATTTTTGAAATAATTTCACAATAGATTAGATTGAAAGTTTGTTAGTTGATAAAAGCGAGCTTTCTACACCGATAGAACTTGCAAAGGAATGCTGTATCTTCGAAAAGATACTCATTCATCACAAGCCTGCCTCTTTATAGGCTGTAGTCCGACGCTTCACACCAAAATCTCCTCGTCTCAACGGCAAAAGAAATTGAATATTGAATATACATATGAATATTCCTTCTGAAAAAGAATCGTAACAGCTCGTACCAAACCGATAGTCGAGTCCATCGGCTTAGTACCAGTTAAACATACGTTGAGGCAAGCACCTGTTAAACAGATGTGAACAGATATCTTTTTGTGTTGGAAGGCGAGTTTGAGATTAACTGTTCGAATACGGTTCACCGGAAGTATTGGTCGTGGTTATAACAGAGATGACATTTCAAATGTTTTGAACTGATGCGTCATGGATTTAGATGGCTGTACTTCCAAAGACAAGTCATCTGAAATGCATTCGGCTGTTGAGTATATCACGGGTCCATAATCGGTAGGCCGACAAGGTCCGTGTCTGGATTCAGCCAGAGTATACATTGTCATGCACTCCTTATTCTGCAAACGAGTCGAAGTCAACGGATAAATAAGCTAGCAAGGCTCCTCGCTAGAACAACCCCGACCGTATGCTCTCCGGGCTGACGGCGTATGTACACCGTTGGTGTTTCACCGTCACCCAGTGGTTTCGCTGTCACCGTCACCCACGGTTTCGCGTTTCGTCCGAAGAAGACAGGCCCTGTAGCCTTTTAGTCTAGCATTTCCTTTTACGCACTCTCTCAGATCAGGCTACTTCGGAGGTGGCGATTTGTCGAATGATTTTTCCATTCAACCTGATGAGTTACGATTGTCAGGGCATTTGCGTTTGTATGGGGCCAGGGTTTTTTCTGTCGTCGCGGCTGTTAGAGAATTGGCGGGGTTTCAAATTTTGCTTGGTTTCCTTCTTCCTCCCAGGGCTTTCTAAAAGCTCGATGTCAGCCTTGCTCTCCGTTTCTCTCCCCGTCCCTTCCCATCACTGAACCTTCCATGCTGTTTTTCTCTTCCGTCTGGGCTATTCTCCTCGTCTTCCTCTATCCCAGCACGACATAAGCTTCGCATGTAAATACCTCCTTTTTCCTGCTATGGCTTTCGGAATCGTCTACCCGGAAGGGTTTCAGAAGAGCGCAATAGTCCCGACCCTGTCATAAGACGTGTATGTTTACCATCCGTGCCCATGTCTACAATCAAATCAGTATCGATTAATTGCTGCAGTAAGTGGCGATGGGTGACTTACTGCAATTTACTGAAGTGGGCAGTGCTGAAGAAGAGGTTTCCTCGAAGTGCCATAGTGGAAACAGAAAACTTTTCTCGAATCTTTAGAGAGTTTAGAGCAGTAACTCACGTTGTGGAGGGTGAACATCTCTATCTTTTTCAAATTATGTATATTGAAGAGCCTGGTACATCAGTTGGGATCACACTCTCCTGTCAACCTTCTCTGTCGATGCACAACTAGTGGCTTTCACAGTCCAGCAATCCGATCAGCCCGTCCTGTCCGCGTTTCCTAGACAAACCTTTCTCCCGTCCAAGCTTACAGAGGTGGCGAGATCTCGGGAAGTCAAAAAAAAGGAAAAACCGTCTTTCTGTACAGAATGTTGCTTCTTTCTCTTCGGCAAGTGTGTTCAAGAGGTGGAGAGAGATTTTGGATTTGGCCCGCCTCCGTCCATCTTTCGATGTGTACACATACATGCATTTAATAAAACGCAATGCTTAAAAAGCGCACGGAATGTCGTCATTGTTGTCGAATGTTAGAACCTCCGACAGAACTGGTGGTTGAAGTGATTTGGCTGCATCGATTGATGAAGAAGGCAATCTTGCTGAAACAAAATATGTGACTGCAATTGTGATTTCTTTTGTGCTTATGGGAGAATCTTCACGGAAGATAGGTTGAGAGCTTCGAGGAAATTCTTAGAAGCCGTTCAACGCATCTACTTAACATGACCTCCGATTCTCAGCACTTAATCGCTGGCTGCTTCGTAGGTCCTTTGTCGATTAGAGGGTTTAGGGTGGGTTCGATTCCTCAGACAAGGCAGTCACTCTGATAATGAGGATTTCACGGAATAATGAGAAAATTAAGCAACATCCCTGCGATCGAGGCTAGACATGAACGTGTATTGCAAATCACGTCTCACAAATCAACCCGTACCATTGATGAGCGCGATTACATAGTGTTCAGCGCTTTGCCGCCTAGGCTCCTTAGCCGATTTTGTGTTCAAAACTCTTTACTGACAGCTTTTGGTTTCATTCGATGGTTCTTTTGAGTCTTTCAATTCCCAGAAGTAATTTGTATTAAGCTTTAGTGTCACTGAGAACAAGATCCGGACTTGTACGCGAACTGTGTTGACTTAAGAATCTTACTACTCAGAAGCTCTGATATCCTTGTTTGGTTTCGTGAGATGGTGCTCCAAAGAAGCAGCATTCCAAAATTTGAACAAGCCGCTTCTGTGTCCCGCACACGGTATTGTTTAATGAAGGCGAAAGAATAGTTCGCTCTGGGTTGAACACACTGCTGATGAGAATACTCGCCGAAGATACAAGAATATGAACCCGCACGAAGGCTCTTGTCGGGCACACTATTCCATCGCTCCGACACGTGTCACACATCCGCTGTACATGTGTCGAATTTGAATCCCGAGAGTTAACGCTCGACGGGTGACTTCTTGGTGCGACGGTGACAAATGAGAGACCGTCACGACGGTGACCGTATGCCGTCAGCCCACAGTTATACGGTCGGGGTTGTTCTAGCCTGCAGTCTAGCAAGTTCACTGTCACATCTTACAAGTCCAACATGTCTAGAAAAACTCAACCTGCTCTGCTCCTGTGTGGCATCGAAGGAGACAGTAAATAGTGATGCATACAAGATGAGCTATGATGTATGGATGTTCAACATATCAGTATGCGAGCATACTGATTTGAAGTATCAGTGTGAGAAGAATGTACCCACAACATAGTACTCATGATAATGGAAGTTCAATGTGAGAGAGTGTAAATTATTGCGTCCTCTATGTAGGTTTTCCTGGCCTCATATGAAGGACGAGAAAGGTGCTATTCCAGGTTCGAAATTCGGGGTAAAACCGTCACGAGAAGGTCTCATCGATAAGTACGTCGATGAAAATACGCGGTACTTTCGCTAGAATGCAGCAGCTGAAGGGTGAAAAGTCCCCTCCAAAACTGGCGGGAATTCCAAACTATTGTGGTATGAACGAATATGATTCTACTCCAATTCATTCCGCCACTTTTATTCTGTATCTCCACGAAGATACACGTAGTTGATGTCTAGCTCAAGATCGGCAACCGTCTCATATCTCAGCATTGCAGTTCTCCCGAAAACAGTGGGTTTGAAATTCATCTTTCAACGAAAAGAACTCGATCTCTTAAGATCACCCGAGCCACTGCCCTGCAACTGTTCCTTGCTATCAAGAGCAGGGCAGTCGCGAGTTGTCTGCATTCCTGTTTCTGGTTTGTTACAATGCATTCACTGAGTAAAACTCCACTCGAGGGGAAAGTAAACGAATTTCGAGACAGGGAGAAAATTCGAGAAGGTACCACAAGATTTGAAAATTACGACAGCGAAGCTTGGTTCTGGACCTCGATGTCGCAATAACAGCAGCCGTGCACACTGAGAAATCTGTGAACGGGCGTTCACAGGATGGATTGAACTCAAGATGATGAGAGCGGATTTGAACTTCATGCCCCAGAAGAAAGTAATTTTAAGTGGAGCTGCTAAAAAAATCTTCATCTGGAGGGAGCTGTATTCTAATACAGGCCTCAACCGAGCATGTAAACTTCAGTCCATACACAAATACACAAATACACCAATCCATGAAAATGAGTGAATCTTCGCCACTGCATATCCAATCGCTTGTATCGAGATGTCCTCACTGCCTGGCAAGATCCACAAACTTGTTGAATGAATCTTTCAGGTATCGCTCAGATTTGTTTATTCTTCTAAACAGTCTGTCTCGGGGGAGACTTACAATCGAAAATCGTTAACTCGACAATTCGACAATCCCTGGCCGAAGTCCGGAAGCTCAATGACCCGACCTATTCGTTCCAGGTTGCGGCAGTTGTAGCCAAAGACGTTCATCAGTCCTGCTTTTGGTGGTTTAAGTCCATTGGGAGGAGGCTCAAAAACCTCTACAACTGGAGCTTTTATGGAAATTCGGCAAACAAAAGGATGAATGAATAATGCACGAACCTATTCTATGGATCTGACTCGAATGCTTTGCGATGTCTAACTGCTGCTCATCGGACTGATCTAAAGCGTGTTGAAACTCTAGAATTGCCTCCTAGTTGACGAACTGACATGTCCTGCGAATTGCACCCTCGGTGCCAGTCAGCACCCCCAGATTTCCCATCTTCACCATACCAGCAGCAAATTCTGTGAAGAAGGTGGATCCAGGTTTCGAGAACGTGGTGACGACTTTCTTGCCTGCAGGATTGGTAATGAGCGCCGCATCAGTGATGAAGATTCCCTTACCCTGCAGCACACTTTTGTAGTATGCACGGTCGAAGGTAATGGCTGTGGAGTCGATGAAGATTGTGTTGGTCGTGTTACCCTGAGGACAATGCTTCTTGAGGAATACAGCGAAGTTCTTATTCATGGCAGGGTCGGTGCCTGTCGCATCATCCTTTCCGGTGAAGTTGTAGAGATGTGGGAGGATTCCGTTGCAATGAGTCCGACCAATAGTGTGTGCACCTGCACAAAATATGGACGCCAAAGCGCGATCAGGTCTAACTTTTGAAACTTTTCAAACGCTGTACTCTGAAACTGCTCGTCCTTTGACATGGTGCAGCAAAACAAGCCAATTCTCTTGCTAGTTCAGAGGTATATCAGAGTTGAGTCATAATAAAGTCGGAGCTGAATAGAGTAATAGATCAAAAAGTGGTTCAGAAAACGAAAGTTGATGGGTACCAAGCAACAAGTTAGTACAGGGATTAAACGTACAAAACGTACATAAAGAAAATGTGGAAATCAGCATTTTATATGAAGCATAATGATAAGTGATTTCTAAAATGATGATTCCTGTGCACAAAACTCAGTGGGCTGACTGCGGTACTTTGTTAGACCTGATAGTGTGATCATTTCTCTTGCATTGAAGCCCTTGGCAGCCAAGTTAGCAACCAGCCCGCTGAAGTTCAGCACAGGGAATGGTAGATTGCTATCAGCCATCAAGGATGTGGAGTTCACTCCGTCTCTACGACCCATAGCGACTGGCCAAGTAGGGCCTCCAACCTACAGGTTTCAACATGAGGCCAAAATGCTTTCAGAATTGTGAGGTAGTCAGATTTTATGCTTGAAGTTTGAAAAAATTCCGCAGACTTCTTGCTTTCATGAATGCAGAACAGTATATTGCATATAGTAGATATTACCTTGGCTGTGGCATCACGAGCAACCATGATCAGAATGTCGGCGCAAGATACAACTCCTGGGCAGGAATGTTCCAGGGCGGCCTTGATTTGATCGACCTCTGCAACGCCTCTGAGCCCGAAGTTGACATGAGCTTCCCTCTCTGCTTGGTTCGTTTGGGTCGAATTCTAAAGAACTGAGCCATCGCAGCCCTGGATTTCATCACAGAATTACTCAGCAATACATTTTTGAAGCCGCCCACGTTAGGAACACTTCCTTTGTACTTGAAATGTCCGCGTAAACATTTTCCTACCGAAAACATATTTCAGACTTCTCTCAGAATGTTCACTAAAATTGCAGTAAGTACGTATCATTCTGATTTAATAGTTTCGTTGATCAAGATATTTTACCCCGGCCCAGCAATCATGGAACTGCAACCTGTTGAAGGCACCAGCAAAGTTTCTGTCCTTCCTGAGGAACTTGGTGACGTAGGCGTCGACATTGGAAGCTGCTTGAGGGCAGGTTTTCTCGTAAAAGTCCTCAGACAGACCAGCCGCATATGGAGTCTCCGCAGTGCATGCACACTCTGTCGCCAAAAGTATAATGCTCACCAGAAGAGCATTGTGGCCGGTGGCGCTTGCTGATGCCATCTTTGCCTGCTGAGAGTTGGCTGCTTGCAGAACATGGTACGAGACAGTTAGAAGCGCAGACAATGCATTTGAATCTAACTCTCTCAACTCGTGAGTGAATACATCAGAAGATTCAGTCTAAGTCGTTAATCTAGACAATGTTCAACAGACTCTATGAGTATTGTATACAATACTCGTACTCATCTCGAAAGTAGTGTTACATAAGGATGGGTACCTGCTGATGGCAATCGATGCAAGGAGATCCAGTTTGACTCGATGAAGGAATCGGGGATGATGACCTTTTACATATTGGATGCATTTATAGTGCTGATGCAATTAACAGGTGCTCGTGCAGGTAGTCATGATATTTAATCGTGCATGGGATCCGATTATTTAGGAGCGATAACTGGCTTCGATAAAACCTGATGAAACAGTCGGCATAAAGTAGCAATTGACATCAACTCGGAGCATGACCTGTCACATGCTTGAGTCATTAAAAAAATCTTCACATAGAAAAATACCTTATCGAAGGTTTGAAATTGTCCTCGTCTTGTGAAAGTATAAAGCTCTGATGCCTGACCGCCAGCAATGTTTGAAAATTAACTGCCAGAAAGATTAAAAAGATTGACGATGATAACAATTCCCTTTGACAACTTCTATTTCAGGGCAGCCTCTTTGTCTTGATTTCATTTTTTATATTTGTGCCCGTTAGAAGAATGGAGCTCAAATCTACCTCATGTTAGTATTAAATTATAAAACAAAATTTTATATGGATGAATAATTTATAGTATGGTAGAAGTGCGAAAATAGATGTCTGGATCCCATCTTTCAGCAGGACCCTGAATTGTAATTATCACCAGGTAGCATATTTCGTCCATAAATCGTGGGAACGGTTCTAAAGTCATGCAATCGGAACTCTGAAGCAGGTAACAAATCGTTAAACAAAGATGAAAAGGCTTCCACCTGATGTATTCTCAACCACTCAGCACTATGTATCACGCATGCAGATTTGCTCTCGACATGCTGATTCGCCACGTCCCTTCATTTTTCGACATGTCCATTGCCTTTCAAGAATTGGGGGAATCCAGTTGCATACTAATTAAAGAACTTACATAAATAGTACAACTCTGACTTGCCCTCAACCTGCTATGCAATCTGGCTAAATTTCATCACAGAAGTCAAATTCTTTAGAAGGTACCAGAAAGTCCCTTTGAAGCGCTGATTGCGGAATTCTTTTCAAAGGATGAGTTTATTGTAGAGGAGATGTAATGTGGCTCCGGATTCTACTTTTCTGGAACGTGTTCAACTTCTCGAGGTTTTACACACGCCAGTTCGGCATCAGTTAGGTGCACCAAAAGTGGATCCAAGGGATAGTATTCATCCATGCATATTAGCGCTATTTTCCCCCACTGCCATTTCATAAATCAGATTTGCTTCTAGGTTCAGATGTGATAAGAATTTGCTTATGGGCCAGTCCGGGAACAATGATGTTGTATAGTGAGTTTGAAAAAATAAGTCTGCCGCATATCCAGGGATCTCATGTCTGGTTGCAGTTTACTGATAGCTGTCATGTTTGTCTTGTACAAACACTAAATGGCTGTTGATTTTATCCGAGTCACACATTGATGAGTCGTTATATGATTTTGGCATATTTTATTATCCTCGTCATTGAAGCGAGCCAACACAGCCTGTCTGTAATCCGAGAGGAAAGGTTAGCTACGAGTAGTTATATTCAATGGAAACGAGCTCTCAGTTATTTAATATGGTTTCTGACGTCAGACGTAGTGAGGATTCTCAACTTCACGAAAGGTTCTGTTGTCTGACTTCAGGTCCGTCGTTAAAAGCACCCTTAACAGTGCATGAGTCGATGCGGCTGCTCGTCACAGGAAGAATATCCAAGAGTCAGGTTATCAATCGTGGCATTTCACGCGTTTGCTGAGGTGCAGATGTCCAAGAGATAACGATCTCCATCGTTGGGGAGAATGTACAGTTTTATTGAATAAAAATATTTTGAGTGGCGCGTTGCGAGCAAGCATGATGGGTTTCGTAACTGGGACTTGTTGATGTATGCTACTAGGGACCTCTGATGGCGCCGACATACAATTTAGCAGTTCAGCACTGCCAAAGAATCTTTTCCTGTTTACAAAAACTAGATGGAATTGAAAGACCTGGTGTTATTCACAGGATCGACCCCGTAGCCAAAGCTCGTGTAATTAGAAGTGGTTTTGAAGATAGTCAGAGAGATTTGGCTGTTGGCACTCCGAAGACTGATTGCAGACAGTGACAAGTTTTCGGCACAAATCTTGGAATTATAGACGAGCAATATGCAATTGGCCTAGCGCGGAATCCTAAAGACTTACACCTGCAGCTGTACCTTCTTCCTCATAATACATTGCGAGCGCTTGAAGTGTCGGATCACAGTGAGAAATGACATGATGTTGTGCCAACATAGCATTAAACGGTAGGACGAGTAAGAGAAATGTGATGTTTTTTATAAATAATGTTAGTGGTTATTTTCATCAATACCAGTTGTATATTATTCTTGTTTTCACTAATCATATTTTCTTGACTTTTCAATCTACTTCGACTATGTTCACCTTTTTATCTGAATTATCCCCTCAATTGTCATATCTTCTCAGTCCCAGAGTTGCATTTGCAACAATTAAGTACGTTTAGGTGAGGATAAACGTAACAAGGAGAGTTAAGTGAGATGTTAATCGAGCATAATTACATGATTACAAAATGTTACACTTTGCCACATAGATTACTGAAATGTAACTCTTACAAACACGTAAAGTTGCGCTCAAATCATATTGTAATAAAACATATAGATGATTATAATAACATATACAAATATGAAAGCGTTGATTACCTTAAAATCATCTCAATTTCTTCAAATTACTTAAGATTATTACAATTTATTATTTTTTGAATAAAAGTCAAATATGAATCATACAACATATTTGTGATAACCACAATTGAAATTTACGGTAATATGTTTAGAAATTAATTTTATGAAACTTATTATTTTTCTAACCCAGATAGATTTTTTGATATTTATATTTCTTGATTCACATGGTGCATATTTTTAGACATAAAGTTTTTCATTTTTTGTCAATAATATAATAGTACTATGTACTTCAAAGCACTATTTACTTTTACATGTTTTGTATAAAATGATTTGTACTAGCAAACTTAAATATCTTAGTCATGTCATACTGCTTATTTTACGCCACTGCCAAGTATCAACACTTAAAAAATATAACGTCAAATGAAGATTTATATCTAATAAATCATAAAATATAAAGTTGCAAGGATGTCAAGTAAATTGCTCTCTATGTAGAGTTTTGATAGTTTCAAAACAACCGAAATTATTTGATGCTGGAGCTGATAGCTCTTAATTGAAATTCAATTTTACCTCAAACTGTGAAGCAAATGTGAATAAAATCCATTGATTTCAAATTTTTTTCTAATTTACATAATTTATAAATTTATTATTCTGTATCTTTTTAGCATCAATTCTTGAAATATCATTGTTACTAGAGATACTATCACTTCAGTCTTCAAATTTGTCTCTCCTTAACTATGAGATTTTCAAAATTTAAAGTCATGTTTACTGTTTGATATTTATGAAGAAAAATACAGATTTAAAAATAAAAAAAAGAGTAAGTTGTGAAATTTTGATATTTTTCTAACATAAGTGTAAACTCTATAGATGGTTACCCTTTTAATTATTTCATCAAGATACATCAAACTTATACGCCAATATCATGTGTATCGAAAAAGAAATATATTATACTTCTAAGTCAATAATAAATACTGAGGAAAGATTAGCTCAATTTAAATACTACTTCCTAACTTGCAGTGTATACAACAGCAGTGTACCGAAGGACTGAAGCCATTTTGCAGTGACGTGCTTGAATCCAGCTGAAGATGATGGGAACTGATTTGTATTTTATCCCCCACTGAACTAATCTCCTCTGGAAAAAATATATTTTCAAGTAGAACTGGTAGATGTGTTTTGTACGGGGTGACGTGTAGTAGAAGGCCTCACCAGTGGATGCAAACATCAGTGCATGCATGCATCAACTTATGAAGGTCTAATGAATCTTGGCCACTCGATGTCCAAGCGCTTGAATCGAGATCTCTCAGTTCACAATATGGGGAGATCCAGAAAATTGTTGATCGAGTCTTTCAGATACAGCTTTAATTTTTTTATTATGATCAAAATTCTCAGTCTCGGGAGAAACTTAGAGCTGACAGTCTCTAGCCTAAGTCCGGAGCTCTTTTGAGCCAAGCTCTTCGTTCCAGTTGTAGACAATGTCGTTCATCCCGGTCCTACTTTTGTTGGTCCAAGTCCATAAAGAGGAAGCACAGAAACCAGCGCAGGGCGAAATCGTCGTGCGTCTACAACTTCAGCTTATTCTGAGAGACGGCAAATAAAAGGATGAATAAATAATGAATGTAGCTATTTTAAAGGTCTGACAAGAATGTTGGGAGACAATACGTTGTCCTGACTGCTGCTACTCCGACCTATCTAAGCTTGTTGAAACTCTAGAATGGCTTTTTAATTTACGAACTGACATGTCCTGCGTATTTGGCCCTCCGTGCCAGTGAGCACCCCCAGATTTCCCATCTTCACCATGCCAGCGGCGAATTCTGTGAAGAAGGCAGAGCCAGGTTTCGAAAACGTGGTGACGACTTTCTTGCCTGCAGGATTGGTAATGAGCGCCGAATCAGTGATGAAAATTCCCTTTCCCTTCAGCACATTTTTGTAGTAGGCACGGTCGAAGGTGTTGGCTGTGGAGTCGATGAAGATTGTGTTTGTCCTGTTACCTTGAGGACAATGCTTCTTGAGGAAAACAGCGAAGTTCTTATTCATGGCAGGGTCGGTGTCGGTGGCATCATCCCTTCCAGTGAAGTTGTAGAGATGTGGGAGGATTCCGTTGCAGTGAGTTCTCCCAATAGTGTGTGCACCTGCTCAACATGAAGATTTTAATCCGTTTAGATCTAAATCTGACGCTTGTTCCAAGTAGAAGAAATAAGCATCAGTGAGTTGAGACCAAGACGTAGTTCAAAAGCGGAAAATATTTCTTGTAATGTTACGATTGCTAGCTACCGAGTAATGTAGAAGTAAGGATGGGAGGACCCCATCCAGTGGCACAGGGATGTAAGGTAAGAAGTGCAAAGGTTAGTATGTTAAGTAAGTCTGATTGTTGGAAAATATTGACCTGAGAGTGTGATCATTTCTCTTGCATTGAAGCCCTTGGCAGCAAAGTTAGCAACCAGCCCGCTGAA